AGATATTGTGTGTGTGTGTGTGTACATATATATATATATATATATATATATATATAAACGAATAGTCATTTTTTACCGCCAGTCATAAATTCCTGGTCCTTTATTGTGCACTAATGGTTCTCATTATTATGATCATTATGATACACAAGACGACTAATGGAAGAAACATCCGGGATGCTTTACCACAAAACACCGGCAATGTGTACGACATGCCGTAGTAAATAACTCTTGACAACGTTACATTGCTAAATGCTGGCACTCACTGTACCCTTTAAGATGAAAAGCCACATGCTCAGCTTTCTGATACTCAGATGAGGAAATTCTACAAACTAAAATTCAGAATGACAGCGATCATGCATGCAAAATGTGTTTGGAAACATGCTGAGGTATTTCATCCCCCCCCCCCCTATTTCAAGGGAGTATCCTCTGCAGTGTACCTAATTAATGACCGATCAAAGCAGCCACTTGACTAAGCTATTACTAGGTGTACTGTAGAGCCGCAATGCAGTATAGTAACTGTGCATAATAACCCTTTATATCATCCAAAGGCTAAGTATGCTGCAATCGATAGTATCATTTTTTCTTGTTTTTGCTTTCCAGGGAAAAAAAGGATAGAATTATGCAGGAGGGAAATTTTGACGTAATTAGGCTGCGCGCCGAATTAGGTTGAAGACACTCCAGAATGGAGCGCCATCGAGAGAGGCAGTCCCTGCCAAGAGAGGAGATTTCCTCCAATTAAATGAAGATGAATAGCTTTTCTTAGAGCAACTAGGCCATGCAGCACCTTCATGTATTTTGAGCCCAGGATATTTAAATATGTATCAGGGTTAAACACCAGGGTGCTCATGAAATTCTGAAAATGATGCACGGATGATGGCTGACCAAAATCCGTTAAAAATGCATCGATGCACAGTATAATAGTCCATACACTGTCACATTTCTGCTGCTGGGACTTCAGCTCCGGGAGCATTTAATGTTTATTATCATTATTATCATCATCTTTTGGCTGCGGTTAGCTGCAGTTAGAGCATAGCGTGAGCTACTGAAAGTGTCCAATCAGACCTACTCATTGGGTGTTATTGAATCAGGTTTTAAAATAGGGCCTACCTGGAGCATTCGCCGGCCAGGAAAATGCCCACTCTGCTGAGAGTCCATATGCTCCAGAAGGACTGGGGGAACACTGCCCTGGTGCCATGCTGTTCTGGGCACTGCTCTGCAACTTCAGATATGGTCACCTGGATCCAGTGACCTCTATTCAGCTGTGACTTTGTCTAAGGCTTGTAGTTTGTTTGTCACCTGCCCATTTTACAGAACTGAAGCTAAGCTACCTGCAAGTCTTTGAGATTTTCTTCTGTTTACGTCTCGTCAAGCTTTTATTTTAGCATATTATTATTATTATTATTATTATTATTATTATTATTTTAAACCATAGCCTTGAAATTGCAGTAAAAATAAGAAGACAGACCCTTGATCTTGACCAGGATAAGAGGTCGGAGGATAGATGGATGAACTGACGGACAGATCGGCGGGGGGACGGGATGGGATGGACAGATGGACGGAGAAAACATATTTTTGGAAACACAATGACTGGAGGCGTAAATAGCTTAATGATTAACTTCACCTACTTTGCTAATTCACAGGACTATTCACGTGACCAAGTAAGCATCAGTCTAGTCAATTAATTTTTTCTTGCTATACATTTAGATTTATCCTGATATTCGTATACCTTTATTATATACCTTTATTATTCTGTTGATCACAAAAGAATCAGTCCTCCAACTAATTCTTTTAACGCTCATATTTCCCCAAAATTGGTTAAACTCAAGCAGCTAATAAATGCTGAGCCTGTGTGGGACATCATGTAAATATCATTTATATAATGCAAGGAGAATATAGTGGCTTAGCATCCATTTATGTTGTTGCCAAATATCTGGAATATATAATGCATAGAAGAAAGAAATGTAATTAGATTTGGGGAGATGGAATCTTCCTGGGGCATCCTCAGAGATGCATGTTCATAAATGCACTTAAGGCGATGGATTGCAAAGGTCCCAGAAGATCAGTGGGTTCTGCTGTGGAGACCTGGGGGTTGACAGAGGGAAGGGGAACAAATTGGATTGCAGTGCTTATCCCATCTGCGTGAGCTTTGCGAGACACAGGCATGGAAACGACAAGGTGCCCTTTCAGTGGTGGCTTTGTGATGCTCTGCTGCTCCTTCCCTCTCACCCCCTCTGAGGTCTGAAATGCTGTAACGTCCTATCATCCGAGGGGTGGAATTCCGGGACGTGCAGCAAGCGCTTTCCAATGGCCTTGGACCTCTATGTGACGCCAAGCATTTCACATGTGGAGATGCTCTCCTCTGTGCCCTTGCCAGCCAGTGATGCATCACCAATTTCCCTGCGTGGTCTTTCTGTTCATGGATATCACCGTGTCACTGATGAGGAACACCTCGATGGGCAGTTTTAAAAAGAGATTTAGTTAACTTAGGAAACACGATCAGCAAGTTTGCCTAGAACACCATCTTAAAACATGTAATTTCTAGTTGATGCTTCTATCTAATGCGGATGACTCCTTGTATGCAGGTAAATTTTCATATTGAACTAAATTCTTCATTCAAATTTGCAGTTGCAGGATCTCTTCTGGGAAAAACTTCTGCTTTTGAGCCAATGACTACTTGCATTCTTCATTTCCTGCTTAATACTCCTTTACCACTACATTATTGTCTGTATATATTACATTATTGTAGATCTTTGACATATACATACCATTATTATTCATTATTCACTTAAGAATATATACTTATTTAAAATGTCTGTACAGGAATGGCTGACATCAAGGTCCCGGATTTCATCAGTGTTTAGTCAGCATAGGAAGTCATTGTCTGTGCACACTATGTTGATTATGATTCACAGTGACACCACAGAGGCTGTGCGAAGCAGTGTTTTACCCCATCATTAGAAAATTGATAGTGCCACAGCTGAAAGGATTCCGATGTAGGTCACCCATTACTACCTGAAATGCCGGGTGCTGGAGAGGAAGCAGAAGCTAGCATTTTGCTTAATGGGCCATTTCAGTGAAGGACAGCTGGGCTACATATCTTTCCTAGTAATGTTTAGCCAGCCTCTGCAAAGTGCTAAACAACCCGCTATTGAAGAGTCAATACAGGTATCCATTTGGGGGTTGTGTAAAATAAAAATATAGACTTTAAGGGGAACATTGAGTCGCCCATTAACTCTTGCTGATTTTAGCAGGGAGGATAGAAACAGTGGCTATTAAAAGACCAAAGGCCTGGAGAGTGTGACCAAAAAGTGGTCCCTGTTCAATTGGCTTTACTTGCAAACCAAATTACCATTTTCAGAGGACTAGAGCCATTCTAATGACAATTACACCAGTTAATTGTTTCTAGTGAATTCAAATGAAGAAGTTGTATTAAATCACGCACTAAGAGTTATCATAAGAAAAGTCCCTAATTGTAAGCTAATGTCAATTGTTGTCTTAAATCATCCAAAAACAGGTATGCACAGGTCTTTTTGACTATTATTCTTGGCGAAAAATCATGGAAATTCTGACAAATTGGATAACTACTTGTGCTCCATTCTGAAACAGACATATCTAGAAATAAATATGAAAATGACAAGGGTGACAAGGGTGTAGGTTTAATTTCAACATTGGTAGGGACCAAATCGTTGGCGATCCCCCCACCTCCCTGAATGCACATGGTCCTCTTGCAGTATTTGTAGGGAAATGTGCTTAACATCCATTCACCCTAAGAACACAGTTATAGCTGTCACTGAAAACAATCTTAATGTAGAATAAAAAATGTGTTCTTCCCATAATTACGTACAATGTGACATAAATATCACAATTATCAATGCACTTCCAATTGCCGTTTTGTAAGGCTGCTATCACATCTGAATATGTAGTCAAATGAAATGCATGAGTAGCTAGCAATTGATTGGGCACCTGTTATTGGTCTAATTTAATCTACAATTTTAATATCACGAGCAAATGGGCTTCTAAGTTAAACACCAATCAAAAAGACCCCAATCCACACCTCCCCTCTGTTTCTGGAATTAATGTTACATTATTTTAATGACAATCTTATAGTCGCTATTCTGTTAATTACTTAGCAATGTTTTAGCTGTTTTAAATTGTAGACATCCTATATTCTTTCAGTAAAATGTAGCAGCTTATGCCAAATGCTCCTGAACAAATTAAGCTTGGCAATACAACTGACGTGAAGTCGGGGATCCCCAAGGACAGCGGTAGCAATGAGGTGCAGGGCAGGAGGGATTATGGTAACATTTCAGTCAATCACTTTCTTTGTGAGTGTCACTGTGAATGTCGCAGAGGTCTGGGTATCGACAGAATCTTCAATTAAGTGTTATTAAGTGTTATTGATTTCTATTATTTTTCCGTTTAGCACCTCTGTCAGATAGTTACATATGGTGGCTCGCAGTGTGATAAAAATTAGAAGAAAGGTGACAAACTGCAAATGTCTGCCATAAATTTGTGAACTTGTGTTTTCTCACATAAATGGATGCGTGCACAGCCTTCGGTTACAATGATGTTAATGTGCATTGATGAATTACAATGAATGGCGATATATCTTCATTAAAGAGGCTTGTAGATGTTGTGTATGAGGAAATGGAATTTTATTTTCTTCAAAAGATAGAGAAGTACAATCTAGCCAGTTAAGTTGTAGAACTAAACAGTAAAATAAATCTTTGTATATTCTCCCACTAAACAAAAACAATACACAGCAGAAAGTCCTCCCTTTAAATGAATTTCATAACCAATAATATTGATGTGCTCAGCACTACAATATATATATATGAATTCATAGCTATTCTTAACATGTCTATTATTATTTAGAATACATCAGCAGTTATCAGCTTGTAGCTATGAATCGAAATTCCTTTGTCGGGTTGCCTGTTTTTGTCGAAAGGCATAAACGCTCAATCCTCAAGTGAATGATGCATTTTCCTTTTAAATACCAGATAACCGTTTTTCGAATGGGGTCAGAGGGACATCAAGACATCGACCTAGCCATCCTGACAGCCCTTTTGAAAGGTAACGGGTTTCCGTCTGCTGTAATGTCTGCCATGGGGACTGTGTCCTGTACTGTGTCCTGGACATGTGTTCTGCATGTTACCGTTGAGGTTCATTCGTTAATGAGCTTTAAATATTACATGTTGAGAGGGTGAGGGCATTCTGTCCGAGCTATGAAAAGCGTTCCTTTTTTAGCAAGATAAACACTGCTTTCGCCGCCCTCTATCCTCTTATCTGTCCATGTTTACGATGAATCTATAAGAAAAATAGAGAAAAGGCATTTTGTCTTATCTCACATTCCAATTTCTCTGTTTCTTTCTCCCCAGTAATAAAAAAAAACCCAGCACCTTGCAGTGCGTTGAAAAGAGAAATATGGACAGTGTGATAACCTTTGCTGTGATCAGTAATTTGTCTTAGTCCCTCCCAATGAGTGGCATAGAGCCCTTTTGACACCTGCCTTGGGATACAGATGTACAATGGGAACCGTCCAACACCCTGTCCAGCACAGATATGCTGACACTTGCTAATGATTTCCACCCACACTCACCCACTAGGTTCCCTTTGGACACCACAGTGGCGTGGGCCCAGCATAAGTTATCTGGCTTCTGGGTCAACTTTGGACAGCGAGGGAATGGAAAATTTATGAAGCAGTGCCCTCTGTCTGGAGGGAAGCGGCATGTCCCGTCTTCTGATTGGCCGTGAGAGTCAGTGTTTCGTCAGGCCTTCGGCTGCCGGAGACCTATGAAAATTAACGGACTGAAGTGCCATTTAGCGTAACGTTATTTAGAGGCAACACAGAAAATCTGGCAGCGTTAATGTGTCACAGAGGGTGTTTGTTTGGGTCCTGAAGGACTCGTATGTTAAATTAACACAACCACACCATTGAAATTATGTGCTGCTCCACATTCAATGGTAGCAACATTTTTTAGAAAGCTGTTGAAATGAGCATATTTTACAGAACCCAAAAGGCCCGTCATGACTCTTGTTGTATAATTAGAGGCTCCATGCCTGAGACAAGTATCTGCTAAGTAGTAGATCAAGTGCACGTCATTATCCTATCAGCTGTGCTATCTAGGAGAGCTCATGACTCTACAATTGATGGGCTGTGCCAGCAAAGGATAGATCTACATGGGGCCATCTAATGAAACCGCCTCTAGAAGACCATTTAAATGTGAGATGTTAAATGATGTGAAGTTGTTCTCGTTTTAGCATGCTTTCATAGGTTTCTAAATTCCGGTCACTAGGAATGTGGTAATAAAGTCATGAACGCTTTTTACAGTGAAATACTTCCTTTTTTTCCCACTATTTCTTTAATAGGAGCCAACGCATCAGCCCCTGATCAGTTAAGCTTGGCTTTGGCCTGGAACAGGGTGGATATTGCCAGGAGCCAGATCTTCATTTATGGACAGCAGTGGCCGGTAATGCAGTGACCCCCAGCCCCCCCCCATTGTCATACATCCCTCTACCTAAGGCAGACACAAGGAGTGCTCTGGACTTATTGTTTGGAAATAATGATCTATTTGACAGTCATTAAATGAAAATTCAGATGCTTGATACTGTATATACATTATGTGTGCTCTGTTGTTTATGAGGAATACCCTATATCTGCTGTATTTATATATACTGTTTACTTATAGAAAACTACACATAGACCTTGAATCATTCCTGTTCTCCACTTCCATGATTTTACATAAATACTGAAAGTTAAGTAACTTGCCCAGATCGACTTCACATATGTCTCTGATAATCGAGTCACACTCCATTACTTTCTGTAATACTGTTAAGTCATTAACAAGGGCCATTTAAACAAGCAAAATAACACTGCAAACCCAGTGGCTGAAATCCCTTTCCTCCTGATACATGCAGAATACTATGAGGATGTGACATGGCTGCTTCTGGTCCGCAGGTGGGTTCCCTGGAGCAGTCCATGCTGGATGCCTTAGTGCTGGACAGGGTGGACTTTGTGAAGCTGCTGATTGAGAATGGGGTCAGCATGCACCGCTTCCTGACTCTTTCCAGGCTGGAGGAGCTCTACAACACGGTAGTTCCGCCCACATGGTGACCTCTTGCTGTTCTCTCTCTCTCTCTCTCTCTCTATCGCTCACTCTCATTTTACTTATTACTTGTTTTTTGGTGGTAACACTTTAAAGCAGTCGTCATAATGCATTATAGATACCTTCATAATGCATAATAATGCGTTCATAAAGTATTATAAACACGGCTATAAATAGTAATAAAAAGGCATAATACATTATAGCCATGTTTATTAGGCATTATGAATGCACGGTGAAGCTCATATATATAATACATATAGATGCATTCATAATGCATTATAATGGGTAGTATAAGCATTAAGGATGCTTTGTACTGCATTATAAAGGTACCTATAGTGCATTATAGATGAGAGCTTCATAAGACAGTCATGATGCATAATTTTATACAAGTTTATAATACTTTATGAATGCATTATAATGCATTATAAAGGTATGTATAATGCATTATACATGAGTGCTTTAAATAAAGTGTTACCAGTTTGGTTTTGTGCTTTAATGTGCACCTCTGAGCATAGGCAGGTAAATCGCATTGATGTATTCTTAGGCTGATATTTGCCTTTGTTTATCTACATGATATAATTTCAGGTTTTTTATACTTTCATATATTTGTGTTTTATCCGCTATCTACCTCAGTTCTTTATTCTCTGATCTATCCATTTTTCTTAGCTCCCTTAGCTGCCTTTTGTGGGCCAAGAGTGAAGCTACAGCGTGATACTCGCAAGGCTACCTTCACTAGGGCCTCATTAGGCAACAAATGACACGTTTAAACGATGCCGCAGAATCGGAAATCCAAAGGGATCACCTTTTTCCAATAACTTAATGAAACCACTGGACTCAAGAAATAGAGATGATCGAACGATTTTTAGAATAAATTTGAAACTGCAGCTTTTCCCTATTTTTAAATAATTTCTTTTGTCTTTATCAGAGACACGGACCATCAAACACACTGTACCATCTGGTCAGAGATGTCAAAAAGGTACAGTTGTTTTCTTCTATGTATTTTGTGCCAGTAAGTTTTCCATTTAGTGCTTTTGTGGAGCAAATCTCTAGCTGCGGCACTGTAGGTCTTAGTCATCTCCATTGGAGGAAGCTGTCGTTCTGAATGTTGCTAAAACTGCTGGAAAATACAGCTGACTGTTTATTTTTCTTGATTTATACACTCTTGTTTTTTTTATTCTGTACCATAAAGTCAGCTTGATATAATTTTCCACAAAACCCTGAAGCACCAGCATTCTGTATTTAGATTGCAATCTTCATGAGGACTGACTGTGGATAGATAATATAGCTCACGTTCAGCATCTGGCAGAACTTTTCTTATGTGGCATGGAGCAGATGAAAAAAGATACTTTATCGTCTGCAGTTTGTGTGCAGTACCACAGATAATTGTGGTATTTTTCCCAGTTAGCGCACATAAATTATACCCCTTCCCTCTGCTGAAAGAAGCTGATCCATGCTTCTGCGTAGCATCTATGCTGTCAGTAGCTGCGTAGCCATGTGCCCTACACTGTAACCTACACTGCAGCCTGATGCCCGGCGCCACATTTCTGGAAAGGTGTGCTTCAGCCAAAGGCGTAGGCTGCAGTGTCAGGTGCGTGACTACGCAGGACCAAAGCCATAACGAGTGTGGACATCCTATGCAGATGTATAAATGAGCCTTAAGCATCAGATAAATGAGTGTAAATGAATGTAAATGTAATTTAAAAAATGCACCTGTTCTTCTGGGCCAGCAATGGCGGATATGTAGCAGTGTGGAAGGTCTTCTGTACATAATGAATCATAGTTTGGTACTTGCAGTTCTGTCCATGCTATTTTATTGTAATCTCCTTATGTAAAAAGTGAATGAAACTGGAAGCCTATGAGAAGCATCTTACACTGTTGCCGGATTAGTACACAGGCAAGGATAGCTGGGTATTCTGAGCTCACATGGTTGCCATTCACACAATGTTTAAATCCCCCCGTTTTACACGGATACTCCCCAGTACCGAGGAGCGCACCCTGCTGGTGCTTTCGGGGCTCGTCGTGTTTTGTCATGTCCTTACAATCCTCGACCCTGCACCTGTTATATGTTTATCCCCAGCCTCCGGTGTCCCCCCCCCCCAGTATGTACACTGCAAGCTGCTTCTGCTCTTTGATTTGCTGCCCAGTACTGGAGTATGGAGGCATGAAGGCCATTTGTGGGGGTGTCGTAGTATCTCCTCGTCTCACTGCCTGTGTTAGTTGCTCTGTGCCTATAGCTTTTCACAAACTCCCTTTACTGGTAGTATTTGTGGTGCCTGGTAGTTTTGGGGTTGGTGCATGATAGCGTACCCACGCTGGCAATGACAATGCCATTTACAGCGGAATTCTCTAGATTCTCGGCTTTCTAAATCAAAAGACTAACATTATATGCTGGCAAGAAATATTGTTCAAAGTTAATTTCTTACTGTATGCTGCATAAATCAGTAGAAAATCACATTTTAGTAGCATTAGCTTGTTAGCACGCCCTCTTTGCTGTGCATGTGAGACTCGGTCAAAAGTGGCTATTCTCAAATAAATCTTAATCTTCTAACGATTCAGAGGAGCATCCTTTAGGTTAAATGTAAACAAATTTCGTTATACATATTATCCATATTTAATATAATATTAATATTAATATTATTATCCGAGGATCAGGCACAACAAGTACACAGTGAAAGGTAGGATGGTCACTAATACCCAAGCTGTCACTTACTCTCTTTGTCTGTGTCAGCTTCTGTTTTATGTACTCCAAGCCATGAACTCCTTAAGTATGAATTTTCATTGTGTACCTTGTTCTTCCAGACCTCTAAGCGCTGAAATCCTGTAAAGCCTTATCCTAAATTACACATTCAAATGTGCCCAAATGTGTGACTACAATGAACCTCCAAGAGCCACATAAAGTAACACTTGTCTTACTTAAGGAGGGATCTTTGTGGGATTTCAGTGTCATCATGTTTTTCCCATATCATGCGTTCTTTCTCACTGACCTTGTGTGTTCTTTCCAAGCAAGAATATCCAGGGTTCAGTTGGATCTATTTCAAGGTGAATCAGCTAATAACGTTTTTTTCCAGTTTAGCTAATTTTGCTTTGCAGTTGTTTGATTTTTTTTTCCATCTTTGGACATAAAAGTTTGGTAGTCGTGCAAGTCCAGTGTATCTGAATGGACTCCTGGTTTCCAGGGCAACCTGCCACCAGACTATCGCATCAGTTTGATTGACATCGGCCTGGTGATTGAGTACTTGATGGGGGGAGCCTACCGCTGCAATTACACCAGGAAAAGGTTTCGAACTCTTTATCACAATCTCTTCGGCCCCAAGAGAGTGAGTGGGTTATTGCTTCTTTTCTAAAGCAGACTCATTTGGAGGTTACTTCCAGAGATATTAATGTCCCTGATGTGTAATAGAAATTATGCAGCAGTTTATCTCTTAATCTCAGTTTCCTGACACATTATAAAAGCTATGATTTAAGAATTAATGCTAAGATAACTTCAGATTTAAAAATTCAGCCCCCCTGTGAAGCACAAATACCAATTGAAACATTAAATATGGAGATCTGAATTTAATACAATAATTAATTTTGATTGAAAACATAAATCAATAAATCAATCCCGACTATATATACTATATACACTCACCTAAAGGATTATTAGGAACACCTGTTCAATTTCTCATTAATGCAATTATCTAATCAACCAATC